AGCTTCGTCCACTTCTTTTGGTTCAATCTGAGATAGATAACATGTGAACAATGCTTCCATGGTAGATGATCTTGTTTTCACGCCATCTCGAACATTTCCGATCACTAATTCTGGTCGGTGATTTTTGAGCCATCTTAAGTCTGGTTCAAATGGGTGCATGGTACTGGGTGGATTCACTGGTTGAGAAGTGATTCGAATTTCTGCTTCATTTTGTAGATTTCCAACTTCTCCAGTAATTGCATCCAAGGGCTGATTTGTAATTTCCACTTCAACTGCATCCCTGGGTTGATTGGCAATTTCAATACCAATTGCATCCCGCACTTCATTTCTTACTGGATGAGGGATGGGATTTTCTAGAGAATTAATTTCTAACTCATCCATTCCCTGCAAAATATTTTCTTCACACGTATCATCAGGATCACAAAAATCAATGACACTTGTTACCATTTTGTTCAATATTTTCGTCATTTTCGTCCAGAGCATCAATATTGACGTGTGATTTTTCATCAAATACCACGTGTATGGATTCTTCAACCACCATTGTTATTTTGTTCAACACTCTGAATGCTTTGCTGGTAGTCGAATATCCTAGAAAAAATCCTTCATTTACACGCTCATCAAAAGCTTTTAGATGCGATTTATCATTAATATGAATAAAGCACTTGCATCCAAAAATATGAAAATAACCAATATTTGGTTTTCTCCCTTTATAAAGCTCATATGACGTCTTCTTGTACTGCTTATGGATCATGCTTCGATTTTGCGTATAGCAAGCAGTGTTGATAGCTTCCGCCCAATATCTTTTCGGGAGACCGGCTGCACTAATCATCACTCGTGCGGCTTTTTTAAGCGTCCTGTTTCTTCTTTCGGCAACACCGTTTTGTTGTGGTGTTCTAGCGGCAGATAATTGATGTGATACTCCATGTGTATTGCAAAATGATTGTATCACGCTGTTCGCGAACTCGGTTCCATGATCAGTTCGGATTTTTGATATTTGCAATTCTTTTTCGTTTCGTAATTGCTTCAACAGCTTCGGCAACACATGTTCAACTTCATTTTTCTTCTTGAGAAACACGGTCCAAGTGTACCTGGAAAAATCATCATCAACAACAAGAGTATATTTCTTACCACTTACACTTATTGGATCAACGGGTCCAAATAATTCCATGTGTAACAAGCTTAGCGGTCTTGATGTTGATTCGTGCATCTTAGACTTGAATGATGATTTGATTTGCTTTCCGCGTTGGCATGCATCACACACTTGGTCCTTCTTGAAGATAATACTTGGTAGTCCTTCAACTAGATTTTTCTTTGCGTGTTGATTGATAGTCTTGAAGTTTAAATGATTAAGCTTTCTGTACCATTCCCAATTTGCTTCTTTCGAATTTCTGGCCATTAAGCATACTGAATCCTTGCTTGTGCTCCAATCAACAACATACATGTTCTTTCGCCTTTTTCCAGTGAGCACAACTTCATTTGAGAGCTCATTTTTTATTAGGCAATTATCTTTGGAAAATTCCACAAGATAGCCTTTATCACAAAATTGACTAGTGCTCAACAAATTGAATTTTAGGCCTTCAACAAATGAAACATCTTCGATCTTTAAACCATTTCGTTCAATTGTACCAACTCCTTTTGTAGTTCCATAATTTTGATTTCCTCCAAATATAACTTTTGGTCCATCGATTTTCTTGAAGTTCACTAGATATGATTTATTTCTAGTCATGTGGCATGAGCAACCACTATTGATGTACCAAACATCCTACAAAAAAGATTAGTTGGTTTTAGGTACCCATACTTGCTTGGGTCCTTTACTGTTAGTGATTTTTGGTAACCAAACCCACCTAGATCCTATTGAATTAAGATAAGGTGGTTTGTAACCATTTGAAACACGATAATCATAATTAACTTTTGAAAATATTTTTGGCACCGGGTTTTGAAAAATCTTTTTAAACTTAGGCACTTGGGAAGAGGATTGTTGCTTTCGTCTATAAGAAGCATTAAAACAAGATTTACACAACCAATCCTTTTGAGTGGAATAAAATCTTCCAACTCTATTTCTAGAAAAGCTTCCCTCTTTTCTAAAAATTCTTTTTGCACTTGACTCTTTGGAATATATTTGCTTGAAGAATTTTTGTTGCTTTGCCGTAGTATTGAACTGTTTCGGCCTATCAACATTCAACTTTGCTTTCTCATGATAGCCAAGTCCTTGTCTCATCGTGCTATACTGACTTTTAACAAATTTTACCACTTGCACTTTATTGGTTAAAGGAGTAGTAAGATTAGTCAGTTTCGGAGGGGTTTGAGAACATGTGGAGTCATAACCGATTCCGGTTCTATCTCCTTATGGCTTTTGCATATTTACCATTTTATCCATAATTTTGGACGAATTAGTAAACGTAGCAATGGTAGCCCGAAGGTTATGTTCTCTAACCTCTCTTGCTTTACACTCTTCTTGAAGTTGAATATTTTCACTCTTCAAGTTACTCACTTCAAGTAAAGCATTTTGCAATTTTTTATTCATCTCTTCTTTTTCAAGAATTTGGATATTATTGCGCTCCTTGAGTTGAGGATGAGTGAGCATAATCTCTTGACAATCTCGCATTAGACTGCCAATAGATTCACGAGAAAAAGAGGAACTAACGGAATTGAAAGAATTAGATGTTACCTCTTCTTCCTCTGCTCCAAGCGCCATAAAGCAATCTTCACTTGAACTCAACTCAATTGATTTGCATACTAGAGCCGTGTCATCTTCCGAACTTGAGCTTTCATCGCTTGATGACAATCCATTCGACTCATCATTTTCATTTGGTTCATTGCTAACGAGAGTTTTTCTTTTGTCGCGCTTGAACCTTCGATCTTTGCTTTCGGATTTATTCGGTGTAGATTCAACATTTATGCCTTGATACTTGCTAACGATCGGATACGGACAATTTATTTTGAAATGTCCGGGTTTGCGACAATTGTAGCATAAATTGTTGTTTTCTTCGACTTTTTTTTCTTGTGTCGTGCGAGAGACAAATTTTCCACGAGCAGAATTTTTGTTGTCTCCTTTTCTCATGAACCTTTTGAATTTTCTAACAAAGAGAGCAAATTGTTCGTCAGTCATAAAATCAACATTATTTTCTACTGACCTGGATGTTGACGGTTGTTCGGCCATTAGAGCTGGATTTCGAATTTCATGAACATCATCATCTTTGGCCTTCATTTTGAACTCATATGCTTTAAGATCACTAAATAGTTTGTCGATTGACAATATTCTTAGATCTCGGTGATCTCGCATAGCCGTAACCTTCATATCCCATGTAGATGGTAAGCCTCGTAGAACTTTGAGATTAATTTCCTTTTGGCTAATATTTTTGCCAATGTCATTAATTTCTCCAAGGATTTTGATCATTCGAGCTTCCATATCAACAATGGATTCGTTTGAGAGCATCTTGCACTAGTACAAAATTGAACATAGAAGATTGATCATAGACTACCATTGTTGAAAGAATGGTTGTCTATTCTTAGTCCAATAATTTGCGGTGGCAATTTTGTAAATAAATGATAAATAATCCGCCTCCATTGTAGCTGTAATGGTTGCCTATTGTAATTTTTTTTTATATTTAAAAAAAATAATCTTTAATAGGCAATCATTTTTAATAGAAATGGTTGCCTTAAAATAGAAATTGTTTTATAATAAGCAACCATTTCCAATAGAAATGGTTGCCTAATATTAACTCTAGATCTAATAGATAGAAATCGTCTACCTTATTCCACGCACAGATCTAAAAGCTTCGTTCTCGCGTCTCATCGCCAGATCTTCATCTACCCTAGATCTTCCTTCTTAAAAGCTTCGTTCAACACTCCCACCCATCGCACAGCTACTACCGGCTACCACCGGCTTCACGTCGCACCCCGGCCACCACCGTTCACAGCCACCGCGACAAAGCACGCCACCACCGTCGCACACCACCAACTATCGTCGCACACCCACCACCGCGACGCCGACGCCACAGCCGCCACCACGCCGTCGATCTGCACCCCTCCCTTGCCCTGCGACGAGGGCGGCCTCCCTGTGACGACTCCACTGCCGCCGACTCCGATCAGGTAGGTTCTTTTTTTTTTTAAAAAAATTATATATTAATGTTTTATTATTATTTGAGATAAAATGTGATATTTTATGATTTTTAAAAATTTTATTATTAGGAAAATTTTATTAATGTTGACTGAGTGGGTAGCGGTGACGTCATAGAGAAGCCCAGTAGGAAAGGGAAGAGGGAAGGTTTGCTATAGTGTGACTAGTGGGATGTGGTAGTTTGGGATGTTGGTTGATTAAGCTATAGAGTCATAGGGGTAAAGTGTTAAGGAAATATCCTTTGGCTCTTAATTCCTGCCAGATTCACTTGCATTTATGGAAATTTGTTGGTAGCATATCTGATCTGTTGATGTGGCTGGATTAGTTGTTGATATGGAATTGACTGTAAAATTTGTAAATATTTGGCTCTTGGCTAGCTACACTCCTATGTATTACATTACCACTCTTATAATAATCTAAATAATATCATCTGCAATTCATTTCTTTCTTTTTTATTTCTTAGAACTCAACTATGCCAATCACTATGTATGTCAAATTTCTCAGTTTGCTCCAACAAGTCTGCAAATCTTTTAATAAAGGACCAAACAGTAAGTGGCATCTTGTGTATAATAAGACTTACACAGGTATGGCTTTTAAAGTTTTGATTCTTTAGTTCTCTCCTTATGTACCCTTGATGCTTGGCAATCGTGCATTTTAAAATTTGTGTTGTTTCATGGACTTGACTAATGCCTGAAGGCGCTTCTCTTGTATTCTCAATATTAAAGAATTGTTGGTTTAGGGATTATGAGGGTAGTGTGCTTTTTTGGCAAATCAACTACTATTCTGTATAAAAACCACTTTCAAACAGTTTCTAGGCTGGCATTTAGTCTTAGTCTCCTATCTCATGTTGATACCACTGTTTCACATTCTTGTAAGTAAAATGTACAGGGACACAATGAGATTATCTTTGGTTTGTTGGGATCAAGCCATATGCAGCAAGCAGGTCGAACGTGCTGTGGAACAACAGCAGCTGCCCAAGGGGAACACAGGCCAATTCGCTATTGTCCCTGGTAATTTTCTATCTTTAATTTGCTTTTCGAGTTTTAGTTGTGATTCCATTATTGTGAGCTCGATGTGAGGCAAGAATCCTTTAGAAGAATTGCGTTTAAATAAAGATCGAGCCTTTAGGAGTTTAGGATATGAACTCTTTTTGCCTATGTTTCCATCTTTTTCTTTCATTGCAGCTATGTCTGTCTTTGTGGAAACTACAAAAACACAAATATGACTGTTGGTTATATACAATCATTTGATGAACTCATCGACTTCATAAGCTCGTTCTGAACTGGCCTTCTGCATAGTTTTTCTGTAGAGCGTTTTCAGCACCTCCCGGGGGCTTCTAGGAATGCTAAGAACCACTAGTTATCAAAAAGAAAGAAAGAAAAATAGCTCCCTCCAAACATTTCTTCAGAAAAAGTTTGCAAAACTGCATTGTGATATGTTCAAAGCTCCAAATATTGTCATCTTGTGCTGGACCGTTTAGTAAAGAAAATTTATAATTTAAAGTACTAATTACACAGGTGATTGCAAATCATTAGCAAATGTGCAGAAGTTTTCGCAAGTGCAAGGTGCAGCCTCTGCACAGCCAGATAGTGTGGAATACCGAGGTCCCTTTGAGTTTGGATTTGGCCAACCTCTGGTAAGTTTATTCGTAATATTAAAAAAAAAAACGTATTGTAGCCAGCAAGTGTATTTTCTCGTCTTACCAATGTTATTTTCCCTGATTTTCGTTTAAACGACATAGATATGTGCCAAGTATCCTTATGGAGAGCAGTGCTATAGGTTATATATACAGCTTATGGACCTCAGGTTGTGGTATGTAGTCTTCATTATCTTATACTTTATGCCTATTTAGTTATGTTTTTGTTTTAGATACAAAGGGAATTGATCTCGAGGCCTTTTATATAGAGTTTTGCTAGTTTCTTGCAAAAATAGAGCAGCAACTATTACTGAGAATCTGAAATAGGCCATACTGATATCATATACTTGGACTGTTAAATGATGTATAGGGGCGAATCATGCTGCCACTGAATTTGGCGTCGAATGAAGGCCCGATATTCGTGAATCCTAAGCAGTACCATGGGATAATTAGGCACAGGAAGTCCCGTGCAAAGGTTGAAATGGCGAACGTAGTGCCTAAATCCTGCAAGGTAAGACACTTGCCTTTATAAGGTTTTGATGGGGATAACCTTATTCTGCAGATGAGACAATTGTATGTGTTCACTTATCTCCTTGTTGGCATGTTTGACAGCCATACTTGCACATGTACCGGCACCTCCACGCAATGCGTCGCCCTCGGGGTTGTGGTGGGCGCTTCTTGAACACGGGGAACAATCATCAAATGGCTATTTACTTACATGTTTACCTTTTGGCCAGAAAAACGAAAGAAAGAAAAAATTGTTTCTAACATTGTTTATTGTAGCTGCTGTTAGTGAGCAATCATCAAATGGCTATTTACTTATTGCAACTAGTGGAGGTCTCAACCAACAAAGAACTGGAGTAAGTATAGTTCTTTTTTTTTTTTTTTTCAGTTAATAGAACAATCGTGTACTATTACACTTGAAATACTTTGATCGTTTCTGTTTTGGCTGTCTCGCTTGGTAACTTGTAGTTTGTATGCATTTGTTACCTTTCAGATAACTGATGCAGTTATGGTTTCACGGATCCTGAATGCCACATTAGTTGTGCCCGAGTTGGATCAACATTCATTCTGGAAGAACGATAGGTTTGGTCCGGATTTTGTTGTTTACTTAGCAGCCCGTAAAGCAAGTTTCAACCATTTCCTCATTTCGTCTTTCTGAAATGCAGTGATTTTCTCGACATATTTGATGTGAACTTGTTTATCCAGTACCTGGCGAAGGATGTCATGCTTGTCAAAAGAGTCCCGGAGAAGGTCATGACATCAATGGAGAAACCCCCGTATACAATGCGTGTTCCAAGGAAGTCAGAACCGGATTACTATTTGGGCCAAATACTGCCAGTACTCCAGCGAAGACGTGTATGTAGGCGAGCTCGTTTCTGCTATTAGTTCTTTTCCAATGCCCAAGAAAATATTTGCTTTGGCAGGTTTACCTCTTGTAGACAAAATTCATATGTTTTGATGATATTATTGTATTAAAGTATGAGGATTTTAAGTATTATTGTGTTTTGATGATATATTTGCATTGTGTTAAAAGTATTATTGTGTTTAATTTGATGATAGATAAATTGTATTGTGGAGTACTGTTGATATGGATTTTAAGTTGTAACAGGTACATGAATTATAAAAAAAAAAAATAGAGTTTTTAATTAAAATAAATTAAATAAATTAAATATTAAACCTTTCAAAAAAAATTAAATATTAAAAAAAAAGTCATCCGCGACCATTTCCTAGCCAAAAATGGTCGCGGATGACTAATTATTAAAATAATAAAAAAGGAAAATGCGACCATTTCTAGCTTCAAAATGGTCGCGTTTTACCTTTGAATTTAAAAAAAAATACAATACGCGACCGTTCTTTGTCAAGAATGGTCGCGTATTACTAACAATGCGCGACCATTTCAAAATGGTCGCGTAAAGTCCATGACTTTCCGCGAGCCTCTCATAGGCAACCATTGTACAATGGTATTCTATTGTCTTTTACAATGGTAGCCTATCTGCAATTCTGTACTAGTGTTGAAGTCCTCAAACTTCTTCATAGCAACAGTGAGCTTGTTATCTTTTTCTTGTTCATCTCCTTCTCCGATCTTGATGAGAGTATCCCAAATTTCTTTTGCACTTGTACATTTTCGAACTTTTGGGAATTTTGTATCATCAATGTCTTTGAACAGAATATCTTTGGCAATGTTGTCAAGATTGTTCCTCTTTCTATCATCCGACGTTCATTCCGATTTTGGCTTTGGTACGAATTGTTGTGCATCCGGTGATAAAAGAAAAGTCGTATTTACTTTCAATATTTTGATCGGGAAGTTATCTCAGTTAGAGATAACTTCCCACATTTCATCATGTAAGGTTGATAGATGAACCTACATACGAACTTTCCAATCATCAAATTTATCAAGCGAGAATAATAGATTTTGAGCTAAATCTTTATTCATCTTCTCGGTGGATGCGAGAGATAAATAATCCAATTACACACACTTGGTAAAATGGATCTGCCTAGCAGTCAGAAACAGGTTGACCCAATTAGACAACCAGCTTTGATACCGATTGTTGGTATTGGTAAAAAACAAGCTGACTCAAATAGGCTACAGGCTCTGATACCAATTGTTGGACCCAAAAGATATAAGGTGAAAGTCTAGAGGGGGGGGGGGGGGGGGGTGAATAGACTTTCAAACTTTTTAGCACAGTACAACAATTGCTAAGGCAACAGAGAAACCAAGACTCTTAACTAGATTGTTAGAGTCTGGTGCACAGCGGAAATAATAAACGATACGGTGTGTGTGTATATTGTGTCAAGATTATTCTCGGGAGAAGCAAGCAAGAGCAGTAAGTAAAGAAAGAAGTAAAGAACACAAGGCAATTTATAGTGGTTCGGAGGTGGTGTAATCCTCCTACTCCACTTGCTCTTATCTCCAAGAGCAATTCACTATATCCAAGATACAATGAATTCCGTGATCTAGTGCTTTGATCACCAATCCCACACTAATCACGCCCAGTGCCACCAACACTGCTGCTTCGGGTTTCACGTCACCGCGTTACTTTCCCAGGATTTCATGACTCCGCGTTACTTTCCTCCCGTCTTCTACGCTCCGGTAGAAACGCTTCTTCCGTGATCTTGTGCTTTGATCACAAAGCCCGCACTAATCACGCCCAATGTCTTCCGACACTGCTGCTTCGGATCTCACAACTCCGTGTGACAATCCAGGATTTCATAACTCCGTGTTACTTTCCTCCTTTCCCTTGTTTTGCTCCAAAACAAGTTTTGCCTTGCTTCCAACTTCGAGACTCTGTAGATGATCTTCAATGATGCGCTTAGTCTCTTGTAGTTGATGAAGATTCTAAAACTCTTGGATATTTCTTTTGTAAGCTTTGCATCACTCTGAGTGTTTATCTCACAAAGAATATATCAATTTAAGCTCTTGAGATGGAAAACTTTCTTTGAATTTCGTTTGCTCTGTTTAGCTCTGCTCTTTGTATTCTTTGTATACTTGCTTCTGCTTTCCACTGCTTCAATCTTCATCTTTTTATAGCTAGTAATGAGAATCCGTCTGTTGAAAAGAAACGTTCTCATTTTTGAATTTCATCTAGCTGTATAGCCTTTTCAGAGGATAAGATAACGTTGCAGATATGTCAGAGATTCTCTGCAAGTTGAGCTTGAGGTTTTAGCAAAAATGGCATCCCAAAAACTTAATCTGGTGTAGATCACGCCTCTTTGGGATTTCTATCCCTTACTAGTTTAGACTAGTATTTTTGCTTCACGTCTCGGTCTGTCTACTGTTTCCAGACTTCATCTTCTAAATTGACTTGGGAAATCTCTTCCCATGTAAACTTCATCCCTTACTATATTTGGAAGTGAAATCTCATCCCTTCCTTGATTTGTCAATTGAAATCTCATCCCTTCCTTGATTTGTCAATTGAAATCTCATCCCTTACTTGATTTGGACTTGCAACTTCATCCCTTGCTATTTATATCTTGAATTGAAGCCCTTTGCAAATCTTATCTCATCTCATCAATTTGAAACTTCTGCCCCACGAGTGAGATACGTGAACTTCATCCCTTCAAATTGAAAAACTACAAAATTATCACCCATATGTGAGATGTGAGATTCAAACTTATAACCTTACATATAATATTTCAAGTTTCTACCAACTCATCCGTATAACCTTTTAGTCATTATCTTGTTTCACTTGGTGTACTCCTTTCTTTCTATGGATGCTTGATCTTCAAGATAGCTTCATGCAAACTTCAAGTCAAGTTCTTTCTTCTTTAGGATTTCTTGAGGGATTTCTTCTTGAATTTCTTGAGAGATTTCTTCTTAGGATGATAGTCTTCATAACTTGTGTATACTTCTTCATACGCATACATCTTCCTCTTCTGTTTGCCATTTTCTCTAGACAAATTCTTGATTTTAGGCTTTATATCTTCTTCATCCATTTCCTCAACTAATGAATTTATTTTTCCCTTTCTTTGTCTATGACTCGACTAGTCTAACAAAAATAAAATTGGGGTTCTACGATTTACAATATGGCATATCAAAATCTATTACAATTTATTCCTAACAAATTGGACGGAATTGCTTATGCATTCAATGACCTAAGGTAGACAAGATGGGGTGCAATACAAGTGTAACACCCCCTAATTTCCATGTAGAATTAAACCTTAAACATGCAAATAACTAACCAAAACATCAAACACAGCGGAAGACTAAACAAGGATTATATAAACAGGAAATAAAAAGGGTGCTATGCTACGCCCACCCAAAGGTGAACGCACAGGCTAAACATCTGCGTAATCCACAATCTAAATCCATACCACACAAGAGAACTAATGTCTATCCTTGGCTCACAGGCCACAACAACTCAAAACAAAGGGATCTACACTAACAGGTTCTAGACCGCGCTCTCGTCTACACATCACCTGAAAGAAATACATAAAAGATGGGACGACGCCCGGTCAGCGAATAATGCTGGTAACCCACCAATACATGTGAAATATCATACATAGATATGTAAAATCATTTGCGAAACGGTATATATATATATATATATATATATATATATATATATATATATATATATATATATATATATATATATATATATATGTTCAAAACAAAGAGCAGAAGTCAAAACAAGGCTCTATGCACTCACCACAAGCATTCGGGAACACATCCCAAGACCACAAGAAGTACAACGACACAAAAGAACGACTCAAGGGATAATCTACCATCACACAGTAGATTAACACCCGACATGCATAACACAAGAGAGAGTAAAGACACAACCATTGGCAACACATGCCTTTGTGACATCACACGTCACAAATAAAGAAATACACAACATCGGTTACACAAGCCTACGTGGCATCACCCACCACGAATTGATATGCCTTCCATATGCCCGGTTCCAACCTTATGGCTACCCCCAACCTTAAATCTAGTTCCAACCTTATCCCTCCGAGGACCGTCGTCCCCTCTCCAACAGATGTCCAATAGAACCACCAATTTCATAGTACACGAGGGTACCGAACACACACGGAAACACATGCCTCCCAAGAAATACGTGAACCTTACACAAAGGTCACAAACTCCATAATCGTGTCATGGCCACCACGAGGATCACTGTCGTACCTTGGTGACTAGTGTCCCATACCACTAATCGTGCAATCCAGGTACAGCCACACACCACACCACAATAGGAATCAATCAAGGAATGGATCACAGTCCAACAACAACGATGAACAACACAAGTCATCATCAACAATACGAAGGTACAAACAACACACTCGCTAGCATTAAAACGCCGAACTAGCATGCTTATCAAACGGGTAAATCGAAAGTAGTTCCGAAGAACTCACAAGACTCATCACGGTTCAACGAAACAGAATGTTGAACACTTAGCACGATTCAAGACACCAAAACCTACATGGATTCCTACAAAATAGTTCTAGACATACAAAACATCAAGAAGACACTCAAGGAGTTCCACAAAAGAACATCGGGAAGTCAAAAGACCAAATACCGAGTCAAAAGAATCACGGAGAACAAATCCCCACATAACCATGTATTGTTCCCCGCGGGTGGGCCCACGGGTAGACCCCCACCTGTGGTTCCGCCCGCGGGTACCACACCCAGCCATCTTGTGGGGCGGCGGGTAGGCCACCGCCCGCCGTTCTGCCCGCGGGTACACTACCCTGTACCAAAACATCCCTTCGGGGATTTTCAACACCAAGCTCAAATTCAAGTCCAAAACATGTCAAATCTCACCAAATACAACAAAATGACTTGAATCAAATGAATAGCCAAGCAATGGCATACAAGAACCCTAAACACAAGCTCTAGATATGCATTTTCACAAGACAATGCATAAACACTCACATTTCATAGCAAAACACATG